ATCAGTGTCAGTATCTAAAGTGAACAAATTATATTCATCATTATAGCAAGATTTATTAAAGATGTTCAAATCTGATTGTTTTTGTGTATATTTTGATATTAATGGCCAATGTGGAACAAATTCCACAGACCAGAGGCATAAGTGCAAAAGTGCAAATATAACTTTCAACTTGTTTAACATTTGGTTTGTCCCTGCTGTGTGATTTCCTTGCTGATGAAACCACCTTACTATCAGCCTCGTTACCCACTCTTTTCTAGGCAATAATATGGGATACTTGACATCGTATGGTAAGTGCTCGGCATTCTCTAATCGGCCATTTGACCTCATCACACCGTYGTCGTGCAGTCTTGGCTTTAACGTAAGTAACTTGCTGGTGATGGGAAGTGGTTTTCCAGAGGATAATGCTGAATACTCTGCTTCAAACGCCCTTTTCTGTCCTGCTTTTATAATCCTGTTCTCAGCATCCTGGWTTTCCTTGACAGTCAGCTCATTCCTTGTTCGTTTACTGCTTGGAAGTAAGCAGTGGTTCAGGAARCGGTAAATCCATGCTTGGATTCTGGTTAGTCTCAACCAGCTCGAAAAACGTTTTGTTTCTAAGCGCGGTTCGTCGTCTCCTTTGATAACCAGCATCGTTCTGCCTCTTTTATCGCAGGTGTCTACCTGGCACCTTTTTGTTTTCCTTACTTCTGTATCACATGCACTGGCATGTGGGATCTTGTTTATTGGCCAGTCTGATGGTTTCTCTTTGAGGTAACTCGGTCYTTCCCACCATGAAATCTTTTCAGCAAGTTCTGGAACTGTTAATCCTTTCGTGACAAAATGCACTGGATTGTCATCGGTTGGCACGTATCTCCATTGGTTAGGGTTACTTGATGATTGGATCTCTCCGATTTGGTTTGCTACAAATGACTTGAAGACTCTGCTTGGTCGGTGTATCCACCAAAGCACGTTCATACTGTCTGACCAATRCGTGGTTAAGCTTGGATCAATGTCTAATGCCTTGGCTATTGACATACTCAACCTCAATCCCAACACTGCCCCCATCAACTCAAGACGTCCTATACTCATGGCTGTAAGCGGTKCGACCTTTGATTTCGATGCCACCATTCGTACAGTAACGATCCCACTTTTGTACTCACTTCTTGYGTACACCACTGCTCCATACGCCGCTGTKGAAGCGTCGGCAAACGAATGTAAACTTACGCACTGTAGGGACTCTAAMTCTTGGAACCATTGTCTTGCCTTTTTTGCTTGTTCCTCTTTCATCTGTTCATCCCAGTCTATCCCGGTGGTCCACATTTCCTGAAGAATGATTTTGGCKCGAACGATGTATGGTGCTAGAAGACCCAAGGGATCAAAGAGTGTTGCGATACTCTTGAGAACATTCCGCTTTGTAAACTTGAATTCCTTTCCTGGTGGTTGTGCCTTGTAGGTGAACATGTCTTCCTCAGCTACCCACAGTACCCCAAGCGTCTTTACCGATGGTAGATGGCCTTGGTCTAAGTCTACTTCGGAGCCTCTGTCATCGACYGGTATTTGCTCCAGCACCTTTGGGGAATTCGATAGCCATTTTCTCGCATGCATTCCAGCTCTTTCCCACAATTCTGATAACTGTCTGTACAGTTCTATTCCTTTGTCGTCATCTGAAGTAGAGTCCATGCTATCTTCCATGTAGGTTGACTTCAAAATCGTCTCTGCTGCCACTGGAAATTGTTCTTTATGCTTCAGCGCATGCTCTTGCGTGACAAACTGAGCTTGGAATGGTGACGAATTCACCCCAAAAACTACTCTATTGAACTCGTACACATCGATGAAATGGTCTGTCTTCTGGTGCTAGGCTTATTCGTAAGTACATTTCTGCGATGTCGCACACCAATGCTACGGGGTTCTTGCGAAATCGTAGTAAAACACTGAAAAGTTCACGCTGCAACTTGGGTCCTTGGTGAATGACGTCATTCAGGGAAATCCCGCCGCACTTAGCGGAACGCATCAAATACGATTCTYGTCTTCGTCGTTTCTTTGTCTAGTCTTACGACAGCGAAGTGGGGCAAATACCATGATTCGCTTGGCCTTTTCTCCGYTTCTGGAACCTTTCTTATGTAACCCTTTTCTTCKTACTGATTGATCACGTCTGAGTAACTCTTTCCTATCTCTGGATCCCTGCACAGCCGTTTCTCTGTATTCTGCAACCGCCGCAGCKYGGTCTCATAGTTGTCTGGCATGAGCGGTTTCTTTTCCTTCCATGGTACTCCAATCTCGTTTCGTCCATCTTCAAACTTTATTGATTTCTTAAGTGCTTCCAGTGCGATTTGATCTTCTGGCTTTAATATCTTGGTTTTCATCTGTAATCCGTCGTCGTCAATCTCCCAGAACTTTCGAATAACGTTGCCCAACTCAATACTTGGTTTCTCACGTACGAAGKAAGTACGTATAAAGTTTGTCCGATAACCCTTCTCATGACATACGCTGGGATGTCCAATACATGTCCATCTTAACGGTGTTAATCTTGCCACTGGCTCGCCTGGTTTCCCTCTTACATCTTTGATTRAATAGTGTAGATCAGCATAATCGATACCGATCAGGATATCAACRATCGGGCSWSGCCCCAGATAAGGAAAGTTTATATCTTTTAGGTGGCTCCAGTTCTTGGCACACCTGGCCCAGTTAACTGCTTTCATGTTGCCTSTGACTCTGTTTGCTGTAAACGCAGTAATCTTCATGTTTATTTTGCCATCTAAGCTCTCTATCCCACACTCGATCGGCATCGTCTTGAAAGTATCTTCCTGGCCATTAAGAACGTTGACTGTCACTTTGCGACTCTCGCCCTGTAGTCCTAACTCAGCGGCGACATCACTATTTACGTACGTCTTGGTACTGGCGTCGTCCAGCAGTGCATTCACGACTAGTTTCCGCCCGCCATTCTTTAGTTCTCAACGCGATGTATTCCTCTTTRGCGTTTTCTTTGGCATGTACCGTGGTCGTGTGTGATCTCTCGGATTTCTGCTGCTCCCCCTCCGTGGCAGGTCCTCGCACGCCTTGCTTTGCATCTTGGCTGCCATTGGCTTTTTGATCACCTGCACTCTTCTCCTCGTCYGACACCCCCTTCTTGTCCTCATGCAACAGCCTGTTATGCATATCTTTACATCCATTCAAGCCACAGATTCTTGACCTYGTGCATGACTGRCCAACGTGGTTGGCTCCTAGACATCTGTAACACAAACTGYGTTGCTTGGCTGTTTCCCACCTCTTAGGTACTGCCATAGCTTTAAACTTGCCAYATAACCAAGCTGGATGCCCTTCTCCGCAGACCTTGCATGCTCGATTTCTGTCTCTTTGTTGATCCTTGGAGCCGCTCTGTTGTCTTGGTTTGCCAAAATATGTCTGATCTTTCCGTTGTGTACTAGATGAGCTTCTTGATAGTCCACGTAGCGTTTCGGCTGCTATGGTCTGGAACTCCRCCTCTTGTATCACCCACTCGTAAGGTTTCCACGCATTCCATTTTGCTTCTTTCATATACCCATTTGTGGTACTGTGCCAACATTTGCTCCGTCATTTTCTTCTGCAACTTTGCATAGAGTGATCCATTACCCAGTTCTTYGTATCGTCTGGCCTCCTTCAGGTTAACAACTGCGATGTCCAAAATGTCTGCAAATCTCTCGATATCTTTTGGGTKTCCTGGCCTTACTGGTTTGAAGTTCTCAAGTTCTTCAAGATGCAGCGCGATCTGCCTCCTCCCGCCGTATTTCCTCTCCAGCCTGCTCTTTGCAGTGTCGTAAGCGGACGCTGAATGACCGAGGTTTTCTATGGTCKTGAGTGCTTCTCCTGACAAATATTGTCTGAGTTGGAGTAGCTTATACTTTGGAGTAGCTGGTGCCTTGTCGATGCATGCCTCGAATGCTGCTTTCCMATTCTCGTAGTTGGCTTTGTCTCCGTTGAACACAGGGATTGACACTCTCTTCAGCTGTTTCCAAAAGTATTGGCCAATCTCCATCGCTGGCAACGTTTAGCCCT